AGGGGCGCACACACCGCGGCTATTATTCTCTCAGCAAGCCACGCACCACACAATGCACCGCAGCAGCGGCAGTGCAGCAACTGATGGGCATTTCCCAGGCACATGGCCCTGAGCAGAATTCTTAGCAGCCTAAATGCGTTAACTCCTCCATGCTTATCACGTTCACTTTTATCATCCTTAATCTCGGTATCCCATCCAGCTTCTTCTGTCTGAGAACTAAATATGTTAGAAAGTTGGAAGCACGGTGTTGGAAGGGGCTGCAGAGGCAGCTGCAGCTGAAGCTTCAGGTTCAGTCTGTTGGGAAAGTCATGTTTGCAAACCTGCCACAGCATCAAATGTGAAAAATCCACTCATTTATAAAGCTTGCTGTGCAGCTGGTGGACCCTGCAAGCCAGTGCCTCCGGCAGGTCTAGACATTACTAGGAGGCAACCAATTGTTCCCAAATCAATTCCAGTCCTTTCCAGTTCATCACTGTCAAAAACAAACTAGCACTAAAGTTCCTGTACATTCAGTAACATTATTAACTTTCATTGGTCTTCCTTTTAGTTGTTCAAATCCACTAAGTTGTTGCAAAGCCTTCTTGGCACCTTCTGGGTCAGAAAATGTCTATCCCGAATGCTCTCCACATCTAGGTGCGCACACTCAGTGAAGTGTTTGGTGTTCAATCCTGGAAACACTTCTATCAGGATGCTTGCATTGTAAAGAAACTTTTCATAAATAAATGGGAAATTCACTGTTTAAATCTACATATTAGCTAAAACAATGACTTCCAGTTCAGCTACAAAACTATCAGAATAAGATACTTCCACCCCCTGATAACATGCTATAACCCCAGGATGTTTTAAAAGGCAAGTTGAGCTTTGAAAACTTCAGGTTTTTACAACCTAATACAACTTGATAAAGATGCTTTAAAAATCTCTTTTGTACAAAGCAAGATTAAAAGAACCAAAGCAAACAATGAAAAATGTCAACAATTAGTAACACTTCAGAAAAAAGATAGCATCTTTGTTTCTTTACATGTTTTTAAATATTTATTTATGTATTTATTTGGTACAGGGTCTCACTATGCAGCTCACACTTGTAATGATCCTCCTATCTCAGCCTCTCCAGCACTGGGATTACATGCATGCACCACCACACCCTGCTTCAGTGGCCAGCATGGCAAGTCCGGGGTACCTGGGCATAAACCAAGGTCTTTGCGTTTGCCAGGCAGGTGCTTGGAATGTAGAGTTATCTCCCCAACCTTTCTTTATACGTTAAATGTATTGCCATGCTGTTTGTAGAATAAAATTTTTGTTTGTTTGTTTGAGACAGGGTCTCTCTGTAATGCAGGCTGGCCTCAGATGCACAATTCTCTGGCTTCAGCCTCCCTAGTGCTGGATTATAGCCATGCATCAAAATTTCTTTTCTTGTGCCATAGAACATGTACAGTATTTTTGTTAAATGGGTATCATACAGAGCCAAAAATATATGCACAATTCCTAACAGATGAAGGTCCTAGAGCAGTGACAGTAAACCTTTTAGAGATCAGTGCTCAAAATGCAACTGAAAATCCGCTTACTTACCACGAAGTGCCAACACTGCAACGAAACCTGAACACTGAGATTTTCATTTGGAAAAACCCATGCACTAGCATCTTTTGTCATAAAAAAAAAAAAAGCAACATGAGTGCCACAGGCTCGCCACCACTGTCCTAGACAAAATGAAGAGATTCCCCACCAGCCTGAATGTCTTAATAACGATCAGCAACACTTACTGAGGATTCTGGGTCCGATAGTTCATCCAGTAACTTCCTTGCATCCACCACAGCTTGATAGAGTCGCAGATTTTTGCCATCAGAAGCAACAAAGCAAGCACTTGCAGAATTGCAGTACGTGCCTGAGAAAGGAACACAGAGGCTTTGGACGATAACACAGTTTACTTTTATCACAGGCTGACATGAGAAACAAATATTTACACTTTTTTAGGCATAATTATGGGTTAAAATCATAATTAAAAATCAACTGACAAAATAAGCAAAAATTCAACAGAAAAATAGATGAAGAGAAAGATTACAAGCAAATTTAAAAATTCTTAAAGTAATTCTGGCACCTACATTTTGAATACTATTAAAAAGTACCTTAATAGTGTGAACCATTTCATAACTGTTTAGAGGCTTTATTAATTTCACAATTTAAGTGAATACTTACCAAGACAGTAACTGGGAATCAGGGTTGGAAGCCAAGCCACATTGGAGAAGGCCGAGGTGTGCAGGGAGTTGATCCGGGCCAGTTCTGACACTCCACCAGTATAGGACAATGGTCCTATCGGGTCCACACGCCACAGAATCAGCTCACTATAAATTGCATTTGGGTCATGAAATGTACGAGTGGCTGCATTCCTGAGAGGCTGTTTTGACAAACCTTTTGTATGTCTTATGGGATCCACTAGCCTACTTAATTTACTGTCTGAGTCCCACTGGCAGTCGGAATCAGGAGTCAACAAAGCATTATGATGGGAGGATGTCAACAACAGTGGCAAAACTGAATGGCATGCCAGGTCGTTCAGGTGAAAGCGGTGACCGCAGTATCGGAACTTGTGGGAAACAGTTAAGACAGTGGTAAAGGCAGACTTGTCAGCAAAAGTGACCGCCCACTGGTTGAGAGAGCCATCGATGTGCTTAGAGACCATCATCACTGTGGGGTCAAGAATGTTCATACTCGCGCTGTGCGACCTGGAGGGTGGCTGAGATCTGCAGGGACTGACACTGCCCACTGACCATAGCTCCTGGTGGGACAGGCTGCGGTGCGAGTTTTTCGTGGCGCTTACACAGGCATACATCATGATATTTTTACTCAGGGAGTTCGCGTCACCTGAGGGAAATGCGACAGGAATTCGAGAAGAAAAAGAAACCTGAAAAACACAAATACATGATTCAGTGTGAGGAATCTGGCCTCTCTCAACAATCATCTTCTCAAGACACTTTCTTTTCCAAAGTGCCAAATCTCAGCTTCCTAGCAAGAAATTTCATCTTCAGGTTTTACTTTCAACCTCTTTATGGTTGCAATGTCTTTCTTCAATTTAGGTAGTATTTTGATATTTACGGCCTAAGATGAACACAAAAGTTTCAAATGCCTTACCTTACCTAAAAAAGAACATAATCATAGGTTTAAATTGGAATAAGCTGAGAACCATAACAGCTTAACACAACTTAATATAGCTAGGGAAACCAACAGGAGGGATGGAGAGGCTTATCTTGAGTCATTATTTGGAGTATACTTTAATTTTATTAAAAACATCATGAGGGGCCGGGGAGATGACTCAGTAGAATAAGTGCTTCCCTGGCAAGTGCAGGGGCCTGAGTTCAATCCCCGGTTCCACCAGAAAAAAAAAAAAAGAAAGAAAGAAAGAAAGAAAGAAAGAAAGAAAGAAAGAAAGAAAGAAAGAAAGAAAGAAAGAAAGATTCTTATTTGGGGACTGGGAGATGGCTCAGTAGAATAAGCACTTCCCTGGCAAGCACAAGAGCCTGAGTTCAATCCCTGGTTCTGCCCCACACCAAAAAAAAAAAAAAAAAAAAATCATGAATTCCTGTAAAATTAGCGTGCATACTTTTTTTTTCCCAAATAGTACCCAAAAATCCAAAATTTACTTTCTTTGAACAAAGTTTGCAAAATGTGTGGTCACCGATCTTGGGAAGCAAGAGTACTGTTTTCTCAGTTATTTATCAAAGACAAAATTTTTTAGTACTGCTAAAAACCTAAGTTCACATAGCATCAACTTTCTTAAAGAAATTAAATAACTACTTCATCTAGAGATATACCTGGACTTGTCTAAATATCCCAGGATTATATTCATCCAAATACTTTACGTGCCACACTAGAAAGGTACCATCTACGGGGTGTACTGTAAAGAGCATGTCGGGGTTCTTATTCCACTCTGTTAACAGCATCTCGATCTTGCGGTCCAGCAAGACTGTGGGCAGTGGCACCGGGAGGCTGGCCCGGGAGCAGGCCCTTGGGCTGCCTTCACGCTCTCCATCTTCATGCTCCGATGAGCCTGTACCTCCCTCCGATTCTCTATCCAGGGATAATTCTGAATCAGAAAAGACATTTATCAGAATATACCTTAAATAATACTACAACAATTAATTTACATATTGGATTATAAACAGCATACTATCTTCAGATACTATAAATTCCTTTTCTGATTTGTGCTTAGGAAATCTATTTTCTTATTTGAATTGAAAATTACCTCACTTATTACTCTTAAACAAATTAAGACTTCACTTGTATTATTGTTATGATTAGCAAATCCTGTTATCCCAAAAATGACATGGCTTCCACAGTAATGCATTACATAAAGCCTAGGTTCAATCCTTAGAACCACAAAACACACACATGTGCGCGTGCACACACACACACACACACACACAAGATCCAGTGATGTGTGCAGGACCTGGCACAGTGCCTGGCCCATGGCAGACACTCAGTAAATCGCTATGGGATGATGGAAAAATGACAGGAGGATGAGGGTGCCAAAGTACAAGAAACACTATGGAAACTTGGGGGCTTCGGAAAAAGAAAACTCAGCACAGGTACTAACCATGGTCTAGCTTCATGTGCAAGCCCCTCTCCCTTTCCTCCTGTGAACGCTCCTCATCTTCTCTATCTACATCATCACTTTCATGATCTAAATGTTTCTCAGACAGTTTTCTTAATTGATGCATGAATATTTCAGTTGAAGATGTAAAATGGAATTCCTTGTTGTTTAACCAATGAACTACAAACCCCCCATTTCCATCATCAACGTTGAATGCAGTGCCAGCCAGGGCAGTTGGGATATCTGTGGAAACAAAAGGAGATTTCAATACGATTCTTCAATTTCCTTAAAACTACGACAGATGCCAGTAAGGACTAGTTCCATATATACACCGAAAAGGTGCCAACCAGCAAGCCAACAGGGTTGTGGCCAGATTTGTCACATCTTTAACTAGTTAAATGGTAAATATAAACTTGAGGGGATGCAGCAGGACAGTAATGATGACGCTGAAGATGTTTCACTGTTTGATGCAGAAGAAGAGACAGCTAGTAGACCTAAAAGATCCAAAATCAGACATCCAGTGGCATCATTTTTCCATTTGTTCTTTCGAGTGAGTGCGATTATAGTCTATCTTCTATGTGAATTGCTCAGCAGCAGCTTTATTGCCTGTATGGTCACCATTATCTTGTTGTTATCATGTGACTTTTGGGCAGTGAAGAATGTCACAGGTAGACTAATGGTTGGTCTGCGTTGGTGGAATCATATTGATGAGGATGGAAAGAGCCACTGGGTATCTGAGTCCAGGAAGGCAACTTCTCAAGAAAGTAAAAGTGTTTCAGAGGCTGAATCAAGAATATTTTGGTTAGGACTTATTGCCTGTCCAGTCCTGTGGGTGATATTTGCCTTCAGTGCTCTCTTCTCCTTCAAAGTAAAGTGGTTGGCGGTGGTTATCATGGGTGTGGTGCTGCAAGGTGCCAACCTCTATGGTTACATCAGATGTAAGGTGGGCAGCAGGAAGAATTTAACCAGCATGGCTACCTCGTATCTCGGAAAGCAGTTTTTAAGACAAAATACTGGAGATGACCAGACTTCCTGAGTAGAGAGAAAACTTACGTGTTCTATTACCTTGGGGAACAATTGAAGAGATTCTTGATTCTGAACTGTTTAGAGATCCATCTGTTTTGCAAAGAGGCATGTTGGGTTTGTTTTCTACTTAAAAACTTTATTTAAAAAATATGAAACAGGTTTCATATTGTTTTTAGTTTTTTTCTATTTTCTGG